GGGTTCTTGGAATGTGAGTGTCAGGAGCAGAGGCGCACTGTGCAGAGGCAGAACCCTAGACGGCGGAAGGAAAGGAGACTATGAGTATGCCACCCTCTCTCCTGCCCGGGATGGGGAGAGGGGCCCTCACCAGTGAGTGGGTGTGGGTGTGTTTTACCAGGAGTCGGCTAGCTATCTTCTTGGAAGGCGCCCTTCTCTTCTCTTCCTTGAGCTTCTCGTCTACACTCCTTCCTCCCACAGGCACATCCGTGACCTATAGAAACCCTGGGAACAGCCTCTTTCCTTCAGAAGGTTCATGCAGACATTTCTGTCCATGGGCCCTGCTCATTTTAAAAGTTGTTGCTTATCTCAAGATTATTCCAACCACCTGCACCTGCAGAGTGCAATGGTTTAAGAAATGTTCAAAGGCATTTCACTCTCGGGCCTCTTTTTTCTTGTTTTTAAAGTAAGCACATCTGTCTCCTTCTCGGGCTTTCAGTGACTGCTTGGGGAGAGCAAGAACTGGAAGGTCATACACAGTCCAGAGAATGTCTGCTCCTATTGGACTAGCCCTTTGGACGCAGTCTTCTTTCCTCAGGCTATGAGGCTAACAATGAGTGGTAGGCATAATTGTGGAGCAGTGATCTTGTGGGATCGTGTAGCATTCCGGAAAGGCACCTGTGTGGCAGCAGCACTGTAACATGTCTCTGGGATGTGCTTTCTATTCCGCAGGAGAGCCAGGTGCTCCTGACTCTAACCAACCCGGTGGAGAACCTCACCCATGTGACCTTGTTGGAGTGTGAAGAGGGGGACGCTGATAACATCAATAGCACTGCAAAGGTAAGAGGGTTTATCTCACCTGATGCTGCCTTTGCCCAAGTGGCCTCACCTGGCCTGTCTGAAAGGCCTGCACCTCTCACCCCCACATCTAAGTAGTCTTCACGTTCTCTGGAGTCTGCCACCTGTGTTGTTCTGGTGCGTTTTTCACTGTGTCCAGACACTGTGCTGGTTCTCTAGTTGAGAGCCTTACCGCATTTACTTGGCCTGTGATGATGACTTTCTCACTGATGTTGCTGTGTTCAGTCTGCCCTCTACCTCTTCCTGCCAGCCCAGCTTCTGTGTGGTCTTTCTAGAACACTGGCTTCCTTCCCTCCCTCAGGCATTGGGTTGCAGTCCACACTGCTTGGCATAATACAGGGAGCTCCCTAATGACCTCACCTCTGTCTGTTCTTTCAGCACGATCTTCTCCCAAGTGCTACATACCAGCTATTGCTGCTGCTTAATTCAGCCTGGTGCTCGTGATGTTCATATTCTTAATTGCATTCCGTTTAAAACTTCTGACCAATTCTTAGAATTCTTTAACTCTGTTTATCAAATAACACTTACTGTCCCCACCTGCTTTTTCTTTGTCTTCTGCTTTAATTGTTTCAGTTCTTTGCACCACTGCCAAAGAGAAGACACACCTGTCCTTGCTCCTCCTTTAAATAACGCTAATAAGCACCTCTGCTAAGGACAGGGAACCAAGTGTCTGCTAGGTAATCTCAGTCTTGTCCCCGTGTACACCACCCTGGGCCACATTTGTAGCCAGACTGCAAAGTGGTTGCCGTTGTTAGCTGTTAATCTCTAACAAAGCTAGATTGAGAGGCCTAAAGATTGCTTAACCATTTTCTGGCATTATTAACATTTCTTTCCTTTTTTAAATTATGAAATGTTTTGGATATGCCAAAAAGTATCGAGACAAACAGAGCAAACACCCATGTAACCCCAGTCTCCTCTAAGAAACAACGTGTTAAAGGCATGGCTACCCCCATCCTCTTTACCTGAATTCACCGTTGCAAGGGAGAAGTAAACTACTCCCTTGACTTCTTACTCCCTTGAATTTCTCTGCTCTTGTTCTTTTCATTGAAGTGCATGTGTTCTGAAACAGTACCTTAAACTTCCATGTAATAAGTGTTTCCAGAAACTTGCTGTATTAGTCTAGGTACTTTGGAGAAACAAATCCACAGCAAATCATGTATAAGAGAGAGTTTTATGCAAAGAAAATGTGCATCATGAAAACATCCCAACCCAATGCTGCCCAAGTCCACAAGTCCAACATTAACCCATT